AAAAACATACCTCTGCTAGGAAAGCAGTGCAGTTGAAGAGGATTCATGCCTAAATTATAATACTTCATTCTGGTGGCTACGTTTCGCTTGATTTGGTGGTTTCGTTTCAATTGTTTCGGTGGTTTCGTCTCAGTTGCTCCATTCGTTTTGTTTTGGTGGTTTCGTTTCCCTTGCTTCGGTGGTTTTGTTTTGGACGTTTCGTTTCGGTCGTTTCGTTTCGGCATTTCGGTCGTTTCGGTTGTTTCAGTCATGTCGTTGTTTCTAGTTTAGTCTATGCCCCGAAGAACAGCAGAAGTGTTATCCTGTTAAGATTTCCTTAAAACACGTCCAGACGGTCGACAACAGGTAAAATGCCATTGAAGCATCACTTAAGTGTCAGTGAAGTATCGGTGAAGTATCGGCCAAGTGTCGATCGACTGTCGGCCAAGTGTCGGCCAAGTGTCGGCGAAATATCGACCGACTGTCTACCGATAGGTCGACCGACTATCGGTAGACAGTCGGAAAAAGAGAGTTAGAAACACTAAAGCTCCCTGGCTCACTCCTGAAATCTTGCGATTGATGCGGAAAAGAGATATAATAAAGCGAATCGCCACTATCACTGATGATCAGTTGAAATGGGCAGAGTACAGACGGCTTAAGAATCGAGTCAACCATTCTATTAAGGCTTCCAAGAAGGATTACTATCATTCTTACTTTGATGATAACGTTGGGAAAGCAAAGGCAATTTGGAATGGAATTAATACACTACTATCGCGTAAGAAAAACTTTGCTCAGGCGACAAAATTGATCATTGGTGAAGCGGTGATAACTGACCCCCATGAGCTCAGTAACGCATTTCACGCAGGTATTTTACCGGGATAGGCCCCAGCTTAGCCTCTCAAATTAATCCCCCTCGGGTCAGCTTTCGTGATTTTGTTGAATCTGGTGACAGTGCCTTCAAGCTAAAATTACTTACTATTGATGAACTGTGTAAACTTGTGAATGATATCCCTGTGGGCAAGGCTGATGGACTTAATGGGATCTCAACTTCCCTCCTAAAGTTATCGTTTATATTCATTGCATCTTCTTTGACTCATATATATAATTTAGTTATTTCCACTGGAATTATTCCCAACGACTGGAAGTGTGCTAGAGTAACTCCAATTCACAAAGCTGACTCGAGGGTTGATCCAGCAAACTACAGGCCTATTTCTGTACTTTCTGTAATAGCCAAGCTCTTTGAAAAAGCAATTTTCAATCAGGTATACTCATACTTAAATGAGAATAACCTACTTTCTAAATATCAGTCTGGCTTTAGACCCATGCACTCTACTCTGACGGCTCTCATTGATATCACAGACAATTGGTATCTCAACATCGACAATGNTACGCACGTACCTACGTACGTACGCTCGGTCAGTCACGTGACAACCAAACGAGGTTGACCATATTCCATGGGTATGGGTCTCTGCCCCACGCGCGCGAAGCGCGCGTGGGAGCCCCGCTAAGACACATGTCTTGTTACCAAGTTTAAATATCAATGCTTATCGATCTGAACCATTATGAAGAGAATTTAGAAGACGGCCAAGCTTACAGGTAGTCATGAAATGTTAAGGTCTGAATAATTCTGGGCATTACTTGGTAAACATAGTACTAATCACATTCCAGTTGTAACTTTAAACTACTAGGCTCCAACAACTTGTTTCAATACTGGCAAGTAAAATACACGTTTCTCTAATTTTTGGCAAAGACCATTACCTATACAGCCCCCAAACAGCACTGCAATAATCGAGATGCGGAAGAATCAATCATTTGTAAATAGTAACAAGGGTACTTTGGGAACATATCGGTCTTTGCCTCCTCAGAGCAGCTAGTACTTTTGCAACTTTACCGATGACTTCAGAGATGTCAGCCTCCCACGAGATTGTTTCATCAACCTGAACGCCTAAGTATTGGTAACTATTGACTCAATTGAATGCCCATCAAGAGAAATGTATGGATCGCTATGGAGAAAAGAGATTTTGTGCCTCGTGCCTGTAAACAGACATTTAGTTTTGAGGACATTAAGACTTAGATGGTTAGAATCGAGCTACTGCTTCAGATTGCCCAAATCATGAGTCAGGGTTGAAAACAACTCATTAACTAGCAACCAAAAATATCACGCCACCATCACACCACCAGTCTAAGCCGCTTTCTGATCACGTGCAAAACATTCTGATCACGAGCGGGGTACATTTAAATTTGTTCAGGGTCACTATTCCTCTTTAGAACAAGGGACACAAACAATTCTTCATCGTTGCCTAGTTACTAAGACTGACTGACAGCAATATAGAGTGATTTTACATCATGAGCAACTAACAAAGGGTGTGTCTAGCACAGATTTGCCAGTACTCAATAAGAGCGTAAGGTTTCACGGCCCCCAATTGCACTTTGATCGACACTTTGAGACTACGCTACCACTTTCCAGCTTTTGACTCTCAAGAAAACATCAAGCTCTTCAAGATGAAGCTGTGGTTCGTTGCTGCCTTACTTATCTCGGCTGCGCTTCCAGCTGGTAAGTGATTTCATCGTAAAATGCATATTTTAGCCGCACCCTTTCTGTTTGTAGCGAGGAAATGGAAGGCGAAGTCTTCTGCGTAAATCATGTTAGACTCACCCCTGATCCAGTAAAACAGGGAATAAATGATCTTACATATCACTTTGTTGCTATAGGAAAGAAAACATCTGAGTCCCTACGATTGATTCGAGTCTTCTGACAGAGAGTGATCCACGAAAGAATAGACAAATCCAATTTCAGCCGCACAGTACAAGGGCATACCTTCGTCTCTAAGAGTCTTATGCTTCGATAAAGGCAGATGCCTCGTGCTGAATTTATCTTCGGTCAAAACCTGAATTATTTTCGACTTGTCGCCTTTACATCGAATGTTTCATTTGAATACATTTGTTTAAATTTGACTAACGAAAAGCTGTTAAGATTGATGCATATCACTGGAAATTTTCGAGGCGCACGAATAACATTCTTTAGGGCCGGTGTACGATTCACGACTCTTTTCGTTGTTTACTGTTCAAAATCTGTCCATTTTGGGACTGGCTCAAACCAATAATTTGCGCTCCATAGTTTCTGCATTGCTTCGTGCAAATTATGGTTTATCCTTTGTTACTCTTTCGCTTAAAATCTAAATAAATATTCGCTAAGACTTGAAAATGTAATGAATTTCGGTTGAATATGCTCTTGTAATATGCTTCACCTCAGAGAATGTCGAGCAGACGGTTACTAAATCACTGTACGAAATTTTCATTTCGATAACATGAGTCGCTGAAAACAACAACGAACAAGAATATTTTCAAATAGATGTCAGTCGAATCTTAGTAAAAAAAAAACTAAAAAAATCGCTTGGTTTAACACTGTTCCTACTAGTGAAGAACATGAATAGACACCTCTCTGTCCTCAAGATATCGCATTGAAAATGCAGGCGGCCTAAAGGAGAGAAAATCGTGTTTTTCCTTTCCTTTTTCTTCCTTTGAGTTTTGAGAATCGTTATTCAGTTTCCGTCTAAGATTTTTTAAAGATATCAACATTATAATTACAAAACAGAATGGGAGAGAAAGTTTAAAAAAAAATCAACTATTAAGCTATTTTTCAACGATATCGTACGGGCAAATTGGTCGTTCAGAATTAGCAAGTGACATCTGTCACGTCCATCCATATTATTAACTTACAAGCGACCCTTATCTTCAGCGGATTTCTTTTGGATGGTAATCAGTTTTTAATGGGTTTACACTTGAATGAAGCTGGACAAATATCGATCCTTGCTAGCGGCTTAATGTCGTATGAATCTGTCTTGCGTCTTTCGAATTATCGGTTGATTAATCCAAGCTGTCAAATGTATTATTAGCAAATTATACAGGATTGTCAATGGGCCCAGATGGGGTAAGGGAGGGGATCACACTCCTCAGTCACGGTGAAGTGTCATGGAACCATTTTAAGCTACTTTACTCTTTCCTGTATCTCCAAACCTTTCCCAACGAAATTGTGTAATCACTTTGGTACGTTTTCAGGTGAACGGGTTCTTAAATTAAGATTTCCGGCACGGCACCTTAATTCTTCGATCTTTTGAAATCAAGCAGTGTCTTGAGTTCCAACTAAAATGCAATATTCTCTAACCCCCCCCTCCCCTTCCTCATCTTAAAGGAAAACGGAGAGGGGCTCCAAAGGGTGTCACAATAACCATGATCCCAGAAAATTAAAATTCCTAAGAAATTTGCAAGGGCAGAAAAACATCAAAGTAACGTTCAGTGCATGGGTAAACAAGGACGGTTATTTAAATATAAAGGGTCAAATTATATTGAAATTGTGCCCTTCATAAATGTAATGACTTTACTTAAATTTTCAAATCTTGTATTTATTTTCCTTTGCGGGAAAGACAAGGCCAGTTATCGACGGCAGAAATTTTTATCTCGTCCATTTGTTATCTAAT